CCCGGCGACGCGTGCATCGCAAACTCCCCTCCGGCTTGCAAGGGAGCGGCCTTCCTCGCTTTGCAACAACGCCGCCGCCCCAGTTTGCAAATTGCAAACTCCGCCAAAGCCAGCTCCGGCTTGCAAAGGGAGAGATGCAGCGGGAAAATGGGGGTGCAAAACAATTTAGGACGGAAAGGCCTTGGGAAGGTGGGAGGGACTGGCGAAGCAAGGCCTGGATTTCCCCGCATCCTTGGATTCTCTGCTTGCTGACCCCTCCCCTCCGCTCCCCAGGCTCTGCCCTTTCAAAGGTGGGAAGGAAAGGAGAATTAGAACGCAGACCTGGGGGGCGCCCCCCCAGGTCCCATTGTTCCGGGACTGCGCGAGGCCGCGCCACTCGGGGCCCCCCCGAAATTCCGCGCGCAGAGTGGGCACGGGGCCCCGCCCCCTTCCTAAACTGGTGGTGTGTGTGTGTAAGGGGGGGGGTCCTGGCATCTGAGACACGCCCCCTTTAACTCCCCACCCCCAAAGGCAGAGAATCCTAGTTGATGGCTACGAGTGGAGTATTTGACCTCTTTGAGTCTGGGCCTTGGATTGGGGCCGTTGCATGGGAAGATTCGTGTGTGCGTGTGTGTGTGTGTGTGTGTGTGTGTGTGAGAGAGAGAGAGAGAGAGAGAGAGCGTGGACCCTGTGCGTGCGTAGCCAGGCAGCCGGTTCGCCTGCGGATCTGCCCCTTTCCTACTGTTTATTGTGTAGTTCCCTCACTCCTCACCTGCCCCTGCACCTCCCTCTCCTCACACACCTGGGTTTCCCAGCATGGCCGGGCATGACCACACGTGTGTTACTTCCATGTGGGACTCTTCGCTCCGTATCTTTCCTTCCCCACGGATGAGTTGGATACTCTTTGCACACATACTTGGCTTCGCTTGGACCCATGCATTTGACCCTCAGCCCCCGGGGGATGGACGGTGTTCGTGTTCGCACTTGTACCTTGGTACTTTCCTATCCCTTGCCCATCCCACATCCCTGTCGTTTGGGGAAAAATCTGTTGCCCGCTGCTCCCGACTGGTTGTGCAGTACCCATGAGGTTCAGGCCCTACGTGTGCCCACGTGTCTGCAGAAGAGGGGGTGTCCATGCGCAGTTCTGGGGTTGGCCCCAGGGCCTTGAGTCACCAGCGGGAAGGGGGATCTCTGTGTGGCAGGAGGTCCACATTTTCCACTCAAGGCACTTCTAACTCTAGAACCTCTCAGTTTGTCTCATCCTTGTGCGTGTCCGTGTTTGTAAATGTGAGACTCTCTGGGCTCTGTTTGCTGGAATTCAGGGTTTTTTGCTGCTACTTGGCTCGAGTGGGGACCATTTCTATGGCTTTTTAGTTAGGCTCTTCGATTTCCTTGTCTTTCCTTTAGGACCCAAGTTTCCTTAGGATAACCCCCAATCAGCTGGAAGATTCCCCTCGACTCCCCGGGAAATTTGCTGAGTTCCCTTCTCCTAGGGCAGCTTCGGAGGATACTCTAACATATCCCCCTTCCCCCCAGCTTGGTCTATGGCAGCTCCAGGACCTCGCACCCCGAGACGGACATCTTACACCGCCAGGCCTACGCGGCCCCCCACCCACTGCAAAGCTATGCCACCAACCACCACCCGGCAGGTACGGCCCCCGTCCCGCCCCGCCCGAGCTGGCCCTCCCTCCGAGGCAGCCGATTGGCTGCTGAAAGTTACACCCTTCCTAATTGGCCGTGCGCTGCATCCTGCCCCGCCCCTTGCTACCCCTCCTCTGATTGGTTGGTCTGAGGCTGCTTAATTTTATGCCGGATTCGTCCGCCCCTGTCTCTGGCCCCGCCTCTTTCGTTCCAATTGGCCCCATCTCCACAGCGCCCAAATCCCACCTTCTCTTCCAGGCTTTTCCGCCTCACTAGCCCACCCCAATCACTTCCCTCTGGGCTTGCCCATTCACTTGGCTCCTTGGTTCTGAATTCTTTACTCCTGATTCCCATTCTTCCTGATTGGCTGAATCTTTGGACCTCCCCCTTCCCTTAGATTTGCCTACTACCTTATTCTCCCCCTGTGGCCCTGCCTCTGACGCTTCTGATTGGTTGCCTGCCTTTGCTCCAGCCTCCCTCCCTAGATGGACCAGGAATGATACTGTGTAGTCCAATTTGATTTTTGACCTCCTGGTTGGCTCCTTTCCTTTTTTCCCTTCCCATCCTTTTTTCCCCCCGGGATCCTCTCACTTTGACTCAATCCCTTTAGACTTGTCCTCTGGTTCTCCCGGGTTGGAATTATCCCTACCCTTGTTGGAATTATTTAAATCCTTTGGTCTCTCCACCCCCCGACGACTCTCTGCCCTTCTGCTCCCGCTTCCTTCACTTAAGGTTTGTTTGTTTTTTTTTTTTTTCCCTTTATCTACGTTTCTTTTCCTGGGCTCTCGGCCTTTATGACTGCATTGCACGGCATCCTGCTTGCAATGCAGGCATCTTCCTAGCTTCTCTCTGCACACTTTCTTTGAATCTGCCCCTTTCCCTCTAACCCCTTTTCCTGACCCAACTTGCCTTGGCTTTTTCTTTTCCCTTTCCACCCTGCCCTATCCCGTACCTAGCTGACTCTACCCCTCCTCCATTCCTGGCCAGGCCTCTCTGGACTCTTCGACACTGGCCTCCACCACGCGGGCTCAGCAGGGCCCGACGCCTCCGTCATGAACCTCATCTCGGCCCTGGAGTCCCGGGGCCCCCAGCCTGGCCCCTCTGCTTCCTCTCTCCTCTCTCAGTTCCGCAGTCCTTCCTGGCAAACAGGTAAGTCCGTTGCCAGCTCAGGAGGGCCAGGGTGGGGCTGGCTGTGGTGTGCCCTGACCTCCGGTCTCCTCCATTGTCCCCAGCCATGCACACGCCAGGCCCCACGGAGCTCTTCATCTCAGGCGCCCTGCCGGGTTCCAGCACCTTTCCGTCCTCCTCTGCCCTGTCGGCCTACCAGCACCCGGCTTCCTTCGGCAGCCGCCCCTTCCCAGTGCCCTCGTCCCTCAGTCTCCAGGACCCCCCGTTCAGTCCCCCAGCTAATGGGCTCCTGTCCCCTCACGATGTGCTGCACCTGAAGCCCTCGCAGGCACCCACGGTACCCTCCTCGCTAGGCTTTGAGCGCCTGGCGGGGGGCGGTGTCCTGGGGCCCGCTGGTCTTGGCCCGGCCCAGACCCCTCCTTACCGCCCTGGCCCCCCAGACCCACCTCCACCTCCCCGCCACCTCCCGACTCAGTTCAACCTGCTGGCTTCCTCTTCCGCCGCCGCCGCCGCCGCCGAGCAATCCTCCCCACAGCTCTACAACTTCTCGGGTGCTGCCCCGGGCCCACCGCCGCCCGAGCGGGCCCTACCCCGCCAGGACACCGTCATCAAGCACTACCAGCGGCCAGCCAGTGCCCAGCCCCCGCCGCCCCCACCCCCAGCCCATGCCCTCCAGCACTACCTGAGCTGTGGAGGCAGCTATCCCTCCATGGGCCACCGGGCCAACCTGGCCTGCAGCCCCCTGGGCGGTGGGGAGCCTTCCCCAGGCTCTGGTGAGCCTAGCAAAGCTGGGCCCAGTGGAGCCACGGCTGGGGCGTCGGGCCGGGCTGCAGGCCCTGAGGCGGCTGGAGGAGGGGGAGCAGGGGGTGGTGGCGGAGGTTACCGCCCCATCATTCAGTCACCTGGTTATAAGACGGGCAAAGGCGGATATGGAGCAGCTGCGGGCGGTGCCAACAGGCCCCCACCGCCGCGTTCGACCGCCACACCCAAATGCCAGAGCCTGGGTGGGCCAGCAACGGCCTATGGCACTGGGAAGGCGTCTGGGGCTGGCGGGGCCGGAGGCCAGGCCTATTCCCCTGGTCAGCCCCAGGGTCTCCTGGGACCCCAGGCCTATGGGCAAGGGTTTGGAGGCGGACAAGCACAGGACTTGAGCAAAGGCCCTAGCTACTCTGGGGGGCCCCCACAGCCTCCCAGCGGCCCTGCGCCTCCTGGCCTCGCCACGTGTCAGAGCTACTCCCCTGACCAGCTGCAGGGGCAGCTGTATGGGGTGCAGGGTGAGCCCTACCCAGGGCCAGCTGCCCATTCCCAGGGGCTGCCCACAGCCAGCCCCTCGCTCAGCTACAGTACTGGTC